TTGATTGATTCCAAGCATGAAAAAAAAAATCTCAATGAGAGAGACAACATACACATTGGACATTTACATTGTTCAAATCGCACATTATGCGGATTTCCAAAGTTTAATCTCTGCAGTCTTCTCGATGCGTCGTTTATTTTGAACGGATCAAAATTTTTTAGCTGGGAAAAGTTGAATTCTATTATTGGTTGGAGAGGAAGAAAAAATCGAGCTGAAGTTGCCCAAGTTGTCTTTTTGTTTTTTCATGTGATATGTCTGGATTTTGGAAGATGGTCCGAAGCTGAGTCAGGTGGATATATATATGTAATGGTATGATATCATGTGACCTTGCATGCTAGCTGGGGCAACCAGCAGTGGTCCTTTGAGTCTCCTGGGAGGCTCAAGTGCTTGCCTTGCCTCGCATTACCGAATCTGAATACCCAATGTAGTTGCTGCAGCAGCAGATGCAGATAATTTGAAACATATTTGTACAATATGTCAAAACTTGAATGTAAAGTTCGTATCAAATTCAATATCACAGTAAAAATCATGTGACTATCAACAAAGTTTTAACTGAATTGGTATTCACAAATTTAAAAATTTTAATTTAGGGGTAGTGCTAATAGTTCAAATACTTATTGTTGTCATAGAAAAATAACTCAAAAGAAAAAATTTAGCAATCATGATTTTATTAATGGGTAGGAGAAGTAAAGAAATTAGAATGCAAACAGAGGTTTAATGAGAGCTTTTTTTTCCCTCTAGCTATTTTCTTAGAAGTTTTTGTAGCCCTCTGCGAAGAAATCCAAATTGCAATTAAATTCTAACTAATTGAGTAATGATATAAGGATAATTTTTTTGTATTATCCTTTTATACAATTTTTACTTGTCATTAAATAAGTCGATATCATAGATTTCAAAAAAATAAAAAGAATCAATCATTTAAATAATACGTAAAATTATACAAAAATGTAAGATAAAAAGATTGTATCTAAATCATTTTCCTAACTAATCTCTAGGAAATCTCTATGGGATTCATTTCGATTACATGATCTTGATTTTTCCCTAAATTTAAATTATGGGTATAGCATTAACAATGCCAAGCAATTAATTAACTCTTAATGCAAAAAAAAAAAAAAAAATCATGTGAATAGAAACCATTCAATAGAATTTAACATGAAATATCAACTAATAAAACCGTAATAATTAAATAAATGAAAAGAAAGTCTTACTGGCTGCCAAAACCAAACGTTACAACACAAATCGTAAAGCTTTGTTTGTGGCATTTGAGACAAATGGCCTGACTAACCTTCCATAAGCAGACATAGAAATGGTGCCACCACGTACAATGGCCAGGCCTCTATTGGAAAGATGGGGGGCACGATTTCAAGGGATCGACTCAATGAATGGCATCTCCACTGCGTTCCACAAGTGAATGGAACAAGTTTAAAACATGTTTACTACCTCTCATACAAATCCTTAATTAGGTTATATGACCTAGCATAGGAAAATATCAGAAGATTTTAGTAATTAAAATACTATGAACAATAATTAAAAGATTTAAATAATTTAAAAAAATTAATATGCTAAAAGATTCATCAAAAGTATTTAAACATTTTTACTAATAGTTCTAAAATTTTAAATACAAGTCCACTTATATCCTTTAAAATTTGTTCACACATGTTGCTTGGCTATTAGGTTGGGGTTTTTAGAATCTTAGAAGGTCACAATAATACCATTGACCTTACAAGGATTTTATACCTCTTTTAAAAAATTTTTTCATTCAATTTTTAAAGAAAAATAGGCAAAATAAATTTTATTTAAGAAATTTGATTTTACACTTTAAATTATAAAACAAGTATTATTAAATGAATTAAGAATTTAGCTCTAATCGAATATTAGTGTTGTGCAATTTGATATAATATGAATTACACAATACTTTTTTCTTTTATTTAAATGTAAAAAAAAAAAAAAAAGAAGTCTACTTCAATGGCAAATAGCATTTAAGCCTTTAAACTAAAACTGAAGCAGATAAACCCTTTAACTCTACTGACAATGCAAATAAGTCCTTTTACAAATGAATCAAATGGTATTTCATGATTAATATTACCTTGAAAGCATAAACACCCATAAATGAGAAGGGATTATTTGCATTATTATTGGAGTTGGAGGGCTTATCAGCTTCATTTTTAGTTTAGGAACTTAAGTACTACTTTAGGATAAGTTTGAGGGCTTAAGAAGGCTTTTTCCCTACTCCAATTGCAATGAAGAAAAGATTTCAGACTCGATTGAAATTCTAAAAAAAGACCAAGGCTGAATTGAACAGCCAATAAAAAAATGATGGCAGAACAGGGCCTCACGAGAAGAGTGCCGGTGACTGGACAGACAGCGACACTGTGTCTTGTTATTGTTCGATGCTGGTAACCGTAAACCCTAACCCCATCGTCACCGTTTCACGGTGGGCCGGAACCCTAACCCTAATTCGCTAACGTCAATCTCCATGAACCGTAATGGAATCGGAGAAAGTCTTACTTTCCCGAGAAAACCCTAGAAATTATTCATCGTTTCCCTCCAACAACACCGCCAGCAGCAGCAGGGCCATGCCCAATGACCTAGCTCAGAAGCCGCCACCGCCGATTCTCGACCGATTCAGAGCTCGGTTGAAGCAACGGGACGATGAGCTTAGGGTTTCTACTGACGAGGACGTGCCGCCGCCGAGCACGGAGGAAATTGTGCAACTTTACGAGATTGTATTGGCGGAGCTCACCTTCAATTCGAAGCCAATAATTACCGATCTCACTATCATCGCAGGGGATCAGCGTGAGCATGGCGAGGGCATTGCACATGCAATCTGCGCCCGAATTGTTGAGGTTAGATGGATTGATTTTGGAAATTTGGGTGTCTTTTAGTTATCTAGGGTTTTTTTTATTTTCTATGTGAAGTTGATAGTTTCTTAACTTGCTTTCCTCAATGGCTGCAATATTAGGGGAAATGAACCAAATTGGCACGATGAAATTTACATAAGTTTGGGCTCTTTGGCAGATGAGAAATCAACATGAACTGATAAGTTCTTAGCTTCATTTAGCTGCCTTTTATATATTTTTCTTGTGTGTTTAGGTTCCAGTTGAGCAGAAGCTGCCTTCTTTATATCTATTAGACAGCATTGTGAAGAACATTGGTGGAGAATATGTTAGCTACTTCTCTTCTCGTTTGGCAGAGGTGAGTGATTGCGAGTAGCTATGTTTTACATTACTCTGCAAATAACTTCTTTCTGTTCAATGTGGGTCTTACTTGTGTAATTGGATTAGGTTTTCTGTGAGGCATACAGGCAAGTTCACCCTAGCATGCATCCTGCCATGCGCCACCTCTTTGGTACTTGGTCAGCAGTGTTTCCACCTACTGTCCTTCATAAGATTGAGGCACAATTGCAAATTTCTCCATCAGTTAGTCAAAAACCTTCTAGTGTGACTTCCTTGAGATCTTCTGAGTCACCTCGACCAATACATGGCATACATGTTAATCCAAAATACTTGCGTCAGTTGGAACAACAGTCAGGTGCCGAAATTGTAAGATTTGTGATGAAACTTGTTACTTTTACTTTATTCGTTGTTGAAATGAACAACGTTTTTCAGTTAGATTTTAGTAAAACGTGTAGTTATGAACTGTTTTTGTGATTGTTATACATAGATTTGTATGCATATGCAGGGTGAAGAATGCTGACATCTAAAATTAGAAACATGTTTTGCAACCTTTTCAGGATACTCAACATGTGAGAGGAACCTCCTCAGGTCTAAAACTTTCTGGTCAAAGACAACCCCTTGGATATGATGAGTTTGACCCTGCTCCTACGGAGATTACATCCTTACAGGTTGGAACACAGAGATTGAACTCAGCAAGAAATGCAGGTCGAACCTCTCTTTTGCCTGGGGCTAACAAGCTTCATCTTTCTTCAGCTGCCAAACTTGCAAGGCCGTCAGAAGTTGATGAGTTTGCTTCAGATGGTTTATCCAATACTGCCTTTGACCATGGACATGGGAGAGCATTTGTCAGAGATGAAGGGCGGAGAAAACTCTACTCTGATTACAGCCCGAACAATGGGTATGAGCATCAAAACCCCAGGGCTTTAATAGATGCATATGGAAATGACAAAGGGAAAGGATTTCCAAACAATAAGTCTCTACAGGTTGAACGGCTGGATGTAAATGGCATGAGCAAAAATGCTTCAAGATCATGGCAAAATACTGAAGAGGAGGAGTTTGATTGGGAAGATATGAGCCCTACTTTAACAGAACGTAGTAGGATCCATGATTTATTGCCATCATCTGCTCCTCATCTTGGAAGGGTTGGTGTAAAGCCCTCTTTATTGGCATCTGGTAGTAGGAGCATTCGCTCAGTTCAGAATCAACTATCTCTGGTGGATGCTGAAGATGCAATCACTTCACTGGGTGTATGCTTCCACAACTTGTTAGCTGTCTCCATTCTTTGGGCATCTTTGTTTGTTATAATAAAATTTTATACTGTTACTAGCTAAAGCCTCTCTGCACTGTCAGTTTTCTTCCTCCCTCTTACCAGACCCCTTCTCTCTTCTTTCTTTCCCTCATGTTTCTAGTTATGTAGACTAGTGTTGATGTTACATTGTTATTGCTGTTATAATTGTTATTTATCCTACCATAAATGATCTTAAATAAATCATGGGGAATTTAAAACAACAGCTTATTAAAATCATGAAGCCTCGGATCCTTTTTTTTTTGGTTAGTCTGGCTACATTTTGTTTTTTTACTTTGTGTTTCTTGGTTGTCCAAAACACTGGATTTCCATCTTTTGTCATATTCAATATCTATATATGGTTGGTTGACACATTCTTCCATCTTATTAATGAATGGTGTGATATACATTTTGCAGTCTGGGCATGGATTGAATCAGCTAGTGGGTTCCCGGTATCCTCAAGATGCTTGGAATATGTCACATCATTCCTCTCAGTCATCTCAACTTCATGCCAAAGGAAGAGGAAGAGATTTCCAGATGTCTGTTTCAGCTGGTGGTGCACTGGCATTAGGTGGTGAGAAAATGGCTCCTCTTATTGACAAACTCCCTGACGCAGATTTGCAACTTGTTAGGCCCCCATCCCTTCTATCAAGAACTACTACGCATGACTCTATCACTATTGCAGCTCGCCCTACCATGTTACCATCCCCTGCTGGCATGTGGCCTCCGGGAAATGTTCATAAATCTCAGCCACCACCCGCACACTTAATATACCCCTTGCAGAAACCTAGGAGTCAGTTTGACTTGATGAACCCTGGTAATAGTGTAATGAATCAGGGTCGAAGTAAACCTTCGTATTTGCCTGAGCAGCAATTTGATAGTTTTGAAAGCAAGGAGCAAAACTTGACTAGGCTTCTGCAATTGCCAAAACAACATCCTGCTCTGTATCAGCAAAACCAGTTGCAAGCAAATTCTTTGCAGGCAGCTTCATTACCAATACCACCTCACTTACTTGTGCCACGCTTGAGTCATGGGTACTCTTCACAAGGACGTGGCCCTGTCATCAGTATGGCTCCATCAAATCCGATATCTGTTGTACAAAGGCCTTTAACAATCCAAAATATGCCAATGACCTCTTTGCATTTACCAGGGGGAGCCCAGCCACCTCTTCCTCCAGGTCCACCTCCTGCCTCCCAAATGATTCCAATATCTCAGAATACAGGTCAAGTTCTTCCTAACCAACCACAGAGTGGTGCATTTTCTGGTTTGATTAGTTCTCTGATGGCCCAAGGATTGATCTCATTGACAAATCCAACCCCTGTACAGGTATATTTATTTCACAATTCTTTGTATTAATTATTACCTTTTATGCAAAGGTATCATCTGATTCATCTCAACCAAGTTATTCATTTCTAGGATTCTGTGGGACTTGAGTTTGATGTGGATCTCCTTAAGGTACGACACGAGTCTGTACTAAATTCTCTTTATGCTGATCTCCCAAGACAGTGCACAACATGTGGCCTCCGATTCAAGTTCCAAGAGGAGCACAGTAGTCATATGGATTGGCATGTGACGAGAAACCGGATGTCAAAGAATCGTAAGCAGAAACCTTCTCGGAAGTGGTTTGTCAGTGCTAGCATGTGGCTTAGTAGTGCAGAAGCATTGGGAACTGATGCAGTTCCTGGTTTTTTGCCCACGGAGACAACAGTTGAAAAGAAGGATGACGAAGAACTGGCAGTTCCTGCTGATGAAGAGCAGACTGTATGTGCTTTATGTGGCGAACCGTTCGATGATTTTTATAGTGATGAGATGGAGGAATGGATGTATAAAGGGGCTGTCTACATGAATGCACCAAGTGGATCAACAGCAGGCATGGATAGATCCCAGTTAGGTCCTATAGTGCATGCTAAATGCAGGCCAGAATCTAGTGTTGTTCCTTCCGAAGATTTTGCCCATGATGAAGGGGTATGCATTTCCTTTCTAATCGCATTGAATTTTATTTAATGCATTTTCATTTAGTAACCCTTGTTTTCTTCTAGAAACATATTAATTTGTTTGGTACTTTGTTTTCTTTTGAAGATCGGAAATCTGAAATGTTGGAATAACCATGAGTGATTGGTTTCATAGTGTTTTGAAATAACTCAACATTCTAACCCATTCTTATCTCTTCAAATGTTTTAAATTATCCATTCTCTACTTGCTGCTGATGGCATTCAGTTCATGCTGGGTGCCTCAACCTTAGTGTAGTGGCACCCAGTAGACCTTTGTGGTTCTGTATTTTTTTTTTTCCCCTCTCTCTAAAATCCCATAGTGGTTTCCCAAGATTGATACCTTTGGTTTTAGTATAAGGGAAATATCTGATAGTTATAGCTTCATGCCCAGGGGATGGTTTTTCTTTCCTAACCTTACTTTTTGCCTCGGCAACTTGCAGGAAAATACTGAAGATGGTAGTCAAAGGAAAAGAATGCGGAGTTAACCTTCTTAGATCAGTTTCTAAGTCTTTTGTAACTTAGTTTGAGTTCCTTCATCTTAGTGGTATGCCCATACTTTTACAGTTAGCATTCATGCTTTAGGTTGCTTGGTGTCATGCCAGAATCATGTATATGTATAGTTGAAGTTGTACTTTGCACAATATCTTGGAGCGAAAAGGTTACAGATTCTCTTGCAGGCTTGCAGTTCATTGCCTTTGTGGCACTCTTATCTCTTTCCTTCCAAAACATCCACAGGAAATTAAAAAAAAAAAAATTTATCGGCAGAAAGTGCCTGAAAATGCTTGGAATTTTCATCTCTAAAGCAATACAATGCTTCCTAGGATCATGTACGTGGATCGGAGCCTAACTGTAGAAGTTTCTGCAACATTATATACATTTGTTATTGTTCTTTTTCCTCTTTTTCTCTTTTGACCGTCTGCAGGGAGGCACAGAGCTGTTTCAATTGACAGATTTTGTTGGAAGATCCTCTGGGTGTAAATCTTCCCCACTGACGATTACAATGAAGCTATGGTGACATTCCTGATTACCATTGTGCTACGAGTGTCTTCCTCTTTTTCCCATCTGGGTTTTAGTTTTCAAGTGGAAGTGGTTTGTTCATTGTTGTCTCTAGAAGTTATAATTTGCCACTCTGTACTTGGATTTATATTTGCTTATTATATAAAGAGAGTTCATTTCCAGGCAATCCTTTTCCTTTCAAGATTATAGTTGCAATATACAATTTGTTAAGATAAATACAAGTTGCACTCTGCATTTCTGGAAGCATTGTGCAATAGCTTGCGATTATTTTACATAATTTCATCATTCAACACTTGTACAAAATCTCTACCTCAAGCAAATATGGCTCTTTAATCAGGTTATGGATCTCTGTTCCAGGTTCATCCCTTTTTGAGACACTTGAATGAACAAAGTCTATGATCTTAGCCTTAGCACAAGTATTATGTACACAAATCTACAAATACCATGAGAAAATATTAAAACAGTTTCGTAATCTCTCTCAATGAAAACATAATTATAGGATTTTTTTTGCTTAATTTTTGCAAATTCAACGAATAAACTTTTTCCCTAAATATCATTACTAAATAAAATTTATTAGGAGTGTTTTGATACTTCATGATCCGGATTACACTTCTTTTTTTTGGTGCCGTTCTAACACTATTCTCATCAGACAGACATACCAGTACAGGCAACTCTGTTTTCATCTCCAATTTAAGACAGGGCACTACTCCTCTGTTTCCTTCTCGATAATAGTAGGATTATCTGTTTTTATCTGGAAGGGCGTGAATAAGACATGAATTAAAAATGGAAATGTTTAGATTTGAGGCCCGCGCTTTACGCGCACAACAACAAAGCATTCCACAACACATAATCTATTCTCTTCTCACAATTTCAAACCTCTTCTTAACAAAGAGTCTGGAGTCTGGACACAATTCTGTCTTTGTCTCTTGTGATTTTGGGAACCACGTATCTCATCTTTCATTTTGAAGGTTCTCATTTTCATGGCTCCCTGCCTACTCTATTCTTGCCTTTAACTCCTCTCTTCTCATTTTGGACACCCTTTTCTTCCATTTTTCTGGCATTTTCTCTCTCGTAAAAGGGTTTTTCTGGGTTTGATGGATTTACTCTCCTAGAGAGGCATTTGCTTTTTCTTTTTCTTTTTCTTTTTTTATTATTATTTCATCAAAATAAATGGAATATTGCAACATTGGTTGGAGGAGTTGGAGGAGAAGTTGCTTTTGGCTTGAATCTCCAATCATTTTGTAACACAATTTCCCTCATATTAGACGGGTAGGTTATATTTGATTAATTTTCTAATCTTCAACGGGAAAAAAGACTCAATCTTTTATCATTAATGCATTACCTTATATATTTCCCTTTACTCGAATAGAGATACCAATCTTCTTCCTGGAGGAAATAGTAACTATAATGGCTTGCAATTGCTAGTTTAATAGGCATAACCTTTTTGCCCTTTTCTTTTGTTTGCCATTGTTTTGACAGGTTAAAGAACCATTTCTCTTTCCCCGTTGGTGTCATCCTTTCGTGGGTTCTTACATTTTGTTTCTGGTTTCCACCATGGCTACCAAAATCAAATGGATTGTCAAGGGGTTCAAATGCATTGCTCAAATCTTTGGTAAGTCCCCATCTTTCTCTCAATCTGTATATGGGTTTTATTATTTTGCATTAAGATGAGAAAGGGGTATTGTTTGTAGTTGTGAAGGAGCAAGATATGGAAATTGGGTATCCAACAGATGTCAAGCATGTTGCACACATTGGCTGGGATGGCGTTTCTGGTACTCCCCCTAGTTGGGTATGTAAAATTGTAAATTGCCCTACTATCTCATAATTTACTATCCCATGATTAAACCTCATTTAAAGCTTTTATGCTTGTCTTTTAAAAATTGTTTTTGTTGAATGAGATGATGCAGATGAGTGCATTCAAGCCAGGCCCTGATTTCAACAAATCATTTGGTGGTAACCCAAGAGATTCTAATTCTACAACTACTAATTCATGGTCCTCTCCAGGCATGTTCATGTTTTTTTTCCATCTACCTTTGCTTTTAGTTTCTTCCTTCTTTATGTGTTGCATTACAAACAGGAGAAAGAAAAAAAAAAAAGAAAAGAAAAGAAAAGAAGGAGATTACCTGGAGCTGAGAAATCTTTTGTGGACATGGAAATGTCAATTAAGTAATGGCAAGGGTGTAATGAAACTCTTGTTGTGGGGGGAAATTCCTAATAAGACAACAGAAAATAAGACCCTTTCACGGGTTACATTGACTAGTGGAAACGTGTTTTGTTTCAATTCATTGGAAGTTTGAAACCAAAAAACTAAAGCATGGAAAAAGTTCTAGAGATTCTTTGCTCCATAGAAGGAAAAGTTTGGCTCTTCTGTCACGAGAGAAACTTCTATAATAAGGGGAATCTACTGCTGCATAGCCTTAACTAAGCCCATTTTCAACTTTTGAGGTCCCGTGTAAGATGCTTTACTTTAATTATTCTTCCTTTACTGGAGTTTCTGTTTGATTAATCTGTTGAGAATCATTAGTAGCCAATGAATTCCTTCTTAGAGACGGATCTGTTAAGCATTTATCAAATAGGTTAATGATATTTGACCTTGCATGTGCCCCTATGTTCTTATGCCATTGGATGGAATTAATCTTTTTCTCTTCAATGAACAGAGCTTTTCCTCTCAATGAAATTTCTTTAGTCAGATCATACTGTAGACAATTAATTAAAGGCATTAACTGTATCAAATTAAGTCCATACAGTATGTGGTTGAAACTATCCATGGTATTGTTCTGGAAAAAGTGTTGGATGAGTTCACAGCTATAACAATGAAACCAAAGGTTTTTTGTTTAGAAATATTGTTGGGGTTCACTTGTGTTCTTTGCGCCAATTACGATATTGAATGTGGTTTAAGCCTTTACATGCTGTTTTCACAATATTTCTTCGCAATGAATCACACCTTGGTCATCACAAAGTATTGTGGCAATGTTGTGATCACATAATATTGTTAACAGGTAATCTTTAGATGCTTAGCTCTAATCTTTTCTTGTTTACAGATTATGATCAGCCAAAGGGATCTCAGAAATTCAGAGACAGTCCCTCATCTGCAGATGTCTCAAATACTGCAAAGAAACAAAACCAGAAAAAGAAGTCAACTTCATCTACCAGGTGCAACTCTTCAATGTCATCACGCATATCATCAAAGTCCAAATACAATCAAAAGGAGCCAAGTGCAAGATTCTAAAGTTTGTTTTGAAGGAATTGGCAAAAGATCAATGTACATATAACTGAGATAGCAGAGGACCCCATTTGGTGGTGGTAGAGATATTCACAAAGAAGGTACAAATTTGAGCAAAAATTCATGAATCCTATGTATAGGTAATAGAAGGATATATATGAAGTTGAATGAGATAGGGATAACAAACATGAGCTGAGAGAACACAACACATTCAAGGACGACGAGACTTAGGTAGAAGCAATTTGTTTTGGTTTACCATGAGCAATATAAATTGTCTAGGTTGTAAAGGAATGCTGATATCTCTTTGTAATTGTTGATTTAAGATGTTCATTGCCGTAATTCTGCCATTCATAATTTCATTTTGCTCACCAAATAGAGAAAATTTAGTTTCAACTATTCAAGTCTTTGGTTCATATCATATATCCAAACAAATTATGCCTCATGTGATGATATATTAATTCAATAATCAAGCAGTTCTAGAGCTATTTTTGGAAAAGAAAATTATCAAACAGTTTATGGGTTTCTAGGGAGAAAAGGGCAGGGCTAAGTATGTTTCTTTGGGTTGGACTGTTAATTATTCTTTTGAGCCTTGGTTAAAATGCTAACCCAGGCCGAAAAGAAGCATGACTTGGACCTCTTCCATCCTTAGGGGAGTTAGGTCTCGGGACTGGACTCAATGCCAAAGGGTTTTTGGGTTCATCCTGCGGCATCGACATGTGACCTCTGTCATCCAGTTGGACGTATTTTTGCAAGTTGAGAGGTTGATGGACTAATTTGTTAAAAGAAAAAACTACAACAGCTCGATTGCAGATGAAAGAGAAGCTTGAGAAGATCTTAATCAATGTAATCCTGAAAACAAGTCCCACGTTTATGCCTTTATCATCCATTAATTGTCTATGTACTAGTTAAGATCAAAAAAAGAAGTTGTGTACGTACTAGCAAGGGAAAACGGAGCAATATATTACTGTGTCACCAATCCCACCTAGCACCTATCAGGATTTTCAATTTGTTATCTAATTAGGCCGTAGTTGTTCTATGGATGTTGATTTTTTTATTTTTTTTATTTTTATCTTTTTTTATGTTAAATTACAGAGTTGCTTGGCATGGTAGAAGTTTAAATCCTTGATTTTAAGGTCAAAGTACCTTATTTGCTCCCTAAACATTTTTTCTTTCTGCAATCAACACCTTAAATTAATTTTCCTTTCAGTAAATACCTTTTATAATTTGAAATTTGTAAAAAACCCGAAATTATCAATAAAATCAAGGTACAAATAAGGGGTTTAACCGCTAATTTTTTGTGCAAATAGGTAGTTTGACCATTAATTTTTGGTGCACATAGGGGGTTTGACTGTTAGTTTTTTATGGGTTTCAAATTATGGAGGATGTTGATTGGGAAGAAAATTAGCTTTAGAGATGTTAATTGTAAAATGAAAAAATGTATAAGATGCAGATTTGGCTTAATTTTAATTTTAAATCAAGATTTTTTAATTAATAAATATTAACTCGACTAAATTCTTATTGGTAATATATATGTTAATAATTAAGGGGGTTGATTGAATTTACAACATAGAAAAAAAAATGTCAATCCAAATTGAAAATCCAGATATATATATTGCGACTTCAAATTTAAAGTGAATTCTTGGTTCTGTTTTGCGTAGTTTTTTAATAATTTTTTCTTAATTTTTAAAAGATAAAGTAGATAAGTAATATTAAAATATAAAAAAAAGTATTTGTTAGTTAGATCTCTAAAAACTAAGAGGAAAATAATTTTAAAACTATATTATTTTAATAAATTTTTATTGAAAAAACGTAAAACAACCTATTTTTAAATTAAAATTGAATTTTTTTATACTTTAACAAAATAATATAATTTTTTTCACCCAAAAAAAAAAATATAATTTTAAGGTATTTGTTCTCCTATTTTTTCTAACTTTTTAGAGACATGCCCGACAAAGACTAATCTCATTATCCAATTAATTATTATTATTATTATTATTTTTTAATTTGGATTATGCATTTAGTGTTACTACCTATGTTTCACATTATTTGACCTTTTAAAGGAGAGAATTAGAATTAAGGAAAATAATAATTTACTCTTGATTTTAAAGATAAATATGTTTAAGGGTTTTTTAAATATATATCTAAGGACGTAATTATTGCATTTTTTATATTAATTAGTAGTAAAAAAATAAAAATCAACTTTTATTTAAGTAATTGTTTAATATTCTGTGTAACATTGATAGTAAAATTAATGATAATTTTTATATTTTTTAATATTAATAATATCAAAAAATACAATAATTATATTTTTAACATGTATTTTAAGAATATAAATTAAAAAACCCTATGTTTAAAGTATTATTTTGTCCTTTTACTTAGAATTCATTTTTTTTAACAATCTACAATTTGGGAGAGGGAGATATTTTTTGAGGTATTTGTAAAAGTCGAAACTCCAATCAACAAATCTAAGCATTTTAAGATTTAAAGACGAGTCATTAAACCCAAAATGTGGTTTACTTAGAATTCATTTTTCAATTCTTGTTTCAACATAAGAAATAATTAATGTTTAAAGAGAAAGGCAAACGGCCTAGGACACCGTCTTTAATTCTTAAAAGGTTAAATCTTCAATTTAATTCTTAAATTATTGTATAAACTTTTGATTTGGTTTTTAAATTCAAAAAATTTCTGATTTAGTCCCTAAATTATTGTATGGACCCTAATTTGGTAGTTATTATTTATCAATTTACCTCAAGTTGGTCATTTCGTACAAAAAACAGCTGACATGTCTATTATTTAACGACGAAAAACAGTAACTTAATGATGAAAAATAATAATTTAACGATGAAAAATAATAACTTAACAATGAAAAATAATAACTTAACAATGAAAAACAATAACTTAAAAGTCATATGTCACATTAATAACAAGACACACTAGTTGGTTTTTATACAGAATGACCAATTTATGGTAAATTGGTAAATAGTAGGTACCAAATTGGGAGTCTATACAATAGTTTAAGGATCAAATCAAAGATTTTTTTAATTTAAGGACCAAGGTTCATATAATAATTTCGGGATCAAATTAAAAATTTAACCTTCTTAAAAATGTGTACAACCCCCAACCTTGGGGACTGGATTTGAATTTCTACTCCCCAAATTTGTACTTATTCAAAAGAAATAATATTGGAAGACGAAGTAGAAAGATAATTAATTAATGTTGTATTAAAAATTAAAAATGACAAATAAAATTAAATAAAATTTTTTTTCCCAAAGAGTCTATTTATGAAGTGAAATAAAACTCTACTATTATTACCAACTACTTAAATAACTTAATAATAAATTTTTTATAAAAAATAAAAAATAAAAAATTTTAAATTTAAATTATATGATATATAAGTGAAGTGAGGTAAAAAATAAAAAATAATTATTTTTTATTATACAACTAAAAAAAAAAACTCTATTATTTTTATACATTTATAATGTTCTATAGTACACCATAATTATATCATTTCTATTGAATTTAATACTTACAAACTTAACTAAAACTGTTGATGGTTGGCATCTCACTATCAAAATATTTATGAAGATGCGTCACCCATATGGGGCTGAGGTTCGTACGCATTGTCGCATTGAATGATGCCTTACGGCATGTTTTTGAGCGTACCACTTCTGTCCCATTTATTTATTCATTTAACTAATTTTACCCATTTATTAAAATAATTTTTTGGTTTATGTTTTTAGAGTATTTTTATTATAAATATAAGTAAAAAATATAAAAATTAATATTTATTTTAATATTAAGGTCAAATAAATAAATTTAATTTAATAATTAATAAA